TTCACATAAATATGATTATACTGGCTTGATAAGGAACTCACCAAAAACATCTGTTCACCTACAACCTGTGTTCCGATATATATATATATATCATGTGAGTAACGGAGGGTTTGATGCAATTTCATGAGGGGATTCATCGTGTATATGGCAAACGAAGCGAGAACTGAAAAGCTCGGAAGCACTGGACAGCTGTTTCAACCTGGTTGGGTCTCCGGAGCGATGTGAATCCATCGACCCAACTGGGGATCGAACCCGGGATCTCATAGGCAGAACGCAAGCATCCACTCGGCCACCAGGCAGCTTATCAGATCGTTCTTCATTCTGTCCAGTGCTTCCTAGGTTTCCAGTTCACACTTTATTTGCCATCCACACGACGAATTTCCCCTTTGGTATATATATATATATATATGTGTGTGCGTGTACGTGTGTGTGCAGGCACAGTATTACCCCACTGGAAGTAAATAAACCAAATTCAGCAGCGCTTATGCGCGTCGTCGATAGCACGTATACCTTCAGTTTGACCATGCCAGATGATTATTTTAAAATATAATTAATAAATAGATGAACGTACTCTGCAATTCAGAATATTATCTGGAAAGAGATATCCAGTGAGCATATTGTGCTCCTATTTTATTGCAAGTTAGGAATGCACCGTGAGAAATATATTGTTGTGTCCATTATACTGATCCGTTATTCAGAATTGTGTATTAAAATGGTTCTGTATTATTGCCATCCAATTAATAAGTATAAGGTTTTCTTTCTCAAGTGAGTGAACGTAACATATTAAATAATTTGTTCAAGAAATAAAATTCATCGGTAGAATTACCGTTGTTGTGGCTGTTCAATCGCCTTCCACGTTGCAACAAGTGGGCGTTTTGCGCAAACTGTTCTGTTGTGTTTTGTACGCTCTATCAGTTATCAGAATACGAAGATAACGAGGGGGCACGTTTATAAATGAAACCACATGGAAATACCAACATATTCCCACGGATACTCTAAACCACATGTGAACGCCAAAAACGTTTTTTTGCATAAAATGTTTCAAATAAAGTGTTTAGAGCATGATCGTTGCCTGCGCTATAAGGAGGACCAAGGAGGACTAAGAAATGGGCTAAATGTTTTGTGGTACGAAATTATCCTTCATAATTCAGGGAGAAAGATAATGAATGCAACATCAGTTGCCAGAAATTACTAATTGCGAATCTATTTAACCACTCCTTAACCTAGTTGCTTACTACCATTGGCCACTGAAATAATCGACCAATAAGGCTATTCTCAAACAATACCTTTTTGGGCATAAAAGACACGCTGAATGGAGTGGGAATGAAGCAACACGCGTTAGATTCGGTCTCAAGAAGCACCTCAAGAAGGAAAACAATCCGATATCGTTTTCGGTGTTTTACTGATGAAATATGCATGTGTTTGTTTGTTTTTTTGCTTTCTATTTTTTTGGGATATTTTTTTCCTCTCAATGTTATAGACAGCCATACGAAATCTCTTCACTACCTCTTCACACCTTTGTGCATGTTAAATTTTCAAATTAATGTATTTTCAAGGCTCGATGAGTGTAATCGACCTGCCAAAATATGAGGTCATCGACCCATTCATATAACCAGTTGTACTTGGTGGCTTTGGGGGTAATAGTGATAAAAGAGATGAAACTATGGACAAAGGATCGAATTTGCGAGAGGCAGTTGTAGTGGTCCGACATTCTTGGTTATTGGATCTGACCAGGTTTATGTAGGGATTTTCGTCTCACAGAAATATCAACCACGAAGAAACGTTTGTGGTACATAGCAGTAACGAGTGCCAAGCAATCGACATGTAAATTTAATTATGCCCTAAAATGACGTGATTTGCTGAGTTCCCCGAAGAGCACATTCTTTCATTTGTTGTTCAGGAACATCACTCTCCAGGACGTCGAGTCCATCCAACACGGTCTTCACATAAATCACATGCTCCTTATTCAAAAGACCTCCTTGACTGTCGTTGTAATCAATAAGTTGAATTTCCCGAACCTGTCCAGTTCGAAGCACGTTTATCCGGGAATAATTCACGTGTAATTCAGCACAAATGAGGGACTCCATGACAGACAAACAAACAGACGAACGAATGGATATTGTTGTGCTTTTTTCTACTACACAGTATCTGATGCACGGAAGTCTCAGTTTTATAATAAAAACAGTCCACTCAGTGTATTGCCCCAATAATGGAATTTTACTTATTGTTTCCATTTCCTAGACACTGAAAATAGCTGATAGCTTTGTGTTGTATTTTGGTCAACCAGACGGACTTTTAAAATGCGGAATTTACGTGAAACCTAACAATATCACTTTGATCAGACAGCGCCATTTTTAATTGCCAGTTTTTCTGTCGCTTTTCACCCACCTTTCCTTTAGGCAATGTCTCAAGTTCCTCAATATGTATATCTCGCCAATCATAATGGCATTCGGAATTGTGGGGAATATTTTGTCTATTGTGGTGCTTCGCAGCCGTCGAATGCGGTCGCCCGTGTCGCTCTACTTGTTGAGTTTGGCCGTGTGTGACAGCCTCCTACTGTTCGCTGCAGCCGGTCTGTTCTTTCACGATGTTGTTCCTTATACCGTTCGTGCGGACGGGAACCAATCGAACGAAACAAATCCGTGGCCGATGGAACTGGTGAATCGAACTACCTCAGTCTACCATCACCCGGTTATGGAAAGAGAACAAAGTTCTTTATTCAAATTAGTCTATCAGTTACTTCGGTGGCACTTTTTCTATCCACTCGGTTTGACCGCGCAAATGGCCACAATCTACATCACTGTCTGTCTGACTGCGGAACGATTCATCGCCGGTTGTTATCCCCTGCATGCTGGGATGCTTTCTTCCATTCCACGGGCACGTATTGCCATTTTGAGTTGTGTGGTGTGTGCGGTTGTTTATAATTGTCCCCGGTGGTTCGAAATGTCCTACTTTATGGCGCGTACGAATGAAATGGATGAAAACGAGGAGGATATCTGTTTGGACAAATGGACACCACACTGCATGTGGCATTCTATGTTTCGTTTTGTCTACTACACATGGGGTTATTTGTTGTTTATGTTTCTCTTACCTGTGATCGCTCTCACCTATATGAACATTCGTTTAATTCAAGCTCTACGTCGTGCAAATCTGTTTCGTCACGAGTACAATGCCAAGTGCTGTTGTCCAAATGTGTACGCCACATCGCACAACGAATCTTCGGGCACAAGTTGGACGACCAGCAACTCGAATCGGGGCTGTTCATGCTATCGTTGGGATCGCAGTCCGGTCCACGCAAATGGCATGGCCACACCTCATGTGCATTCACTTGTTGAAGGTCACTGGATCGGTCGATTGAATTTTCGTTCTATCCCAAATGCACCTCATGTGTATACGTCACAAGGTCGCGTGATTCGCACGGAGAAAAATGTCACTCGCATGGTGCTAGTGGTGGTCGGGGTATTTATCGCATGCCAGTTACCGGCTATGATTTATAACATATACTTTGGTATTGCCTCTCCAGAAGAAATGTCGGTTGGTTGGTGTGCCTTGTCTGAGATACGAAACTTTCTGGTAGTGGTCAATTCCAGCATCAATTTTGTCGTCTATTGTTGTATGGNCACGTGATCACTCCCTGTTTGGAGAAGACGTATGCGGCACAATCATTCCAATGGCCTCGGCGACAGATGACAGAGCCAGGCGAATGGGATCCACGTTATGCGACTCAAGTTCACTGTTTGCATGTGGCCGGCTTACGTGCCAGTGCGTAGGCGTGAAACCATGGTGAATATACTCGAATTTGTCCATATTTCTTATACAGTCAAATCTTAACTGCATGCATCATATAGACGTGCTGTGCAAAGCTATGCTTTCCATTATATGAAATTGTATTTTTATACCATAAATTCCAAGCTGTGATACACTGTGACGCCTAATGCATTGATGAATTTATTCCGACACTTGTTTGTTTCGTGGTCAATATTTCTGGTGTCNTTTGTTTCGTGGTCAATATTTCTGGTGTCCATGCTCAACTCATTACCATCCGTGTGATTTAACACTTGTAAATCACCTTGTGTGGTGCGTTCTTGAGAAACATGAAACAGGCACGCAAGCGGAACGGAACTTTGAATTAATTAATCGGCCTTAGAAAACGCGAGAAAAAAATAAAATATGCGAGTGAAGTTCTAAGAGCACATTTTTATAGTTTACGCAATACTATCCAATGAGAAGCATAGAAAGCATGTTGTCATTAAAAACCCTAAGTATTAAGCAAATGGAACTGAAGTGATTCCTACCAAACTAAATTTGAACCGTAGGAAATGAGTTTTGTGGACGCCGCAGAATGTTTCGTTGTTCGATCAGCATGACCGCACCATATGCGTACGAATAAATGTGTTCAGTAAAGCTACAATAAACAAAACATATTGAAGAACATGAGAGAAAATTTTGTTTCGCCTGGGCATTAACTTTCGTGGATTTTTCCAATTTATCAGTACTTCCATTTGATACGAGGTATGAAATCAAAATCCAATTATCCAAATGAAAAGGAAACTGTTCCTATCTTTCCCCCACGTTCAGTTGTATTTACTGTTTACGTCACCAATATACTATGAAAATTCAAACGTTCCATGTTTGCTCCTCTAGTCTTTCAATGAGAAATCAGAAAACATTGGCGTCTGGTGTGTCAGAATTTTCTTTCGAAAGAAGACACCTTCTGATTCAATAGTTTTGTTTAAATATGCCCAAACTTTGCTGAGTATAGGGGGAAAGTAAAATACCGTTTTTCGCCATCACTGCCCTGATACTGAATGACGAAACCATTAGGCAGTTGTTCGTCTTTGTTAGCATAGATCGCATGAATGACTGAATATGTTATGTATAGTACCCATGAGCTAAAGAACATGTTATGTTTAAAAGAAAATATGAAGTTTAAATTGGCCTCAGAACATGCTCACTTCGATTGCGATCGATACATTCCATCTACATGAATGATATGGTACGCTTGAGCCTAACGCAGTGAGTGAACATCTGCAAATAAAGGAAAAAACCCAATTGGAAAAAAATGTTTGTAATACTCGCATCGATTTACATAGAGGCATAAAGTAAAAAGTGACTGGGGCACGTCCTACGAATGCCTGGGCAACGTCTACCATACTGTGCACTATTTGCGGACGTCGATCCGGATAGGAAGAAACAGCGAGGTGGGCAGGCTATGTATGACATGGAGCGGAGTCTTAAAGGGATTGTGCTCGGATCTGGCTTCCATCAGGGTTTCCCGGCTCCCCAGGTGGGACCCCAAAGTTTCAGATTTTCTTTGACTGGAGACAAAGCGGGATATGGCATCGAACCGAAGTACTTAGGGTAAATGCATCCTTTGCTGTGTGCGATCCCAAAATTAAAGAAAAATAATCAAAATGGAGTGCATCAAACAAACAAAAAAAGATTATTATTTGTTATTTTGCGTTGAACCCATGGTTATTTTGGTGCCGTATCTTTAAGTATTGATGTTTAATATATAAATATAAATATATATTCAATGCCAATATGGAAAACAAATTCTACGAAGGTACCACTAAAATCCCAGGACAACAGCAAACACAGCGCTATTCAGAGTTGTTTACAAATCGTCCGCAGTACATGCCCACCAAAGAAGAAATGCAATCGGGACCAAATTACAGACTAAGTTATATTGACATGGGATTTCATTGTACAGAAAACGTTTCCAACTCTTCAGCTTGATTCACATCAGAATAGACTCAGTAGGTGACCCGAAAAACCAGCGAGTTTTCTTGCTCGCTTTTCGTATGCACTCAGCACATTCAGGTTGAAAATAAGCCAGTCATGGCCAATCATTCTGCTGGTTACCCTCTGAATGCGCATTCTCAGAAGCCATTTCACAGAGTGGTAAATTTATTAGTTGTATCACGCTGAAAGAATCCATTGAGTCCGTTGAAACATTCATAATTTATTTTGAAAATAGGTGAAAGGAAACTAAATATCCAGCAAAGCTTGTGAATAACACAACTTTCCTAAACAGACATAGTGTATTGCTCTGCATTTCATCCACTTCGGGTGGTCATCATAAGGATGATGTGAGTCCAAATGCAGTAGAAGCATTTTAAACCAAAAAGAATGGCGAAAGAGCTCATTTTCAGTGGTCCGTATCCATGTCAATACATCACAATATGATCACCATTTAGGAATGAAATTGTCTTAGGGAAATAAAAAACACAACACAGAATGCCGGAAACGATTTCACCATGATACCGGAAATCGGATTAACCACCAGCAAGTAGTTGTCTATCCACTCATCTAATCATTGAGACTACTCGTGATACGTTGTGTCAATACGATCAAGGAAGCTTTACCGCCCTCAGAGGGTTTGCGCAAACGAATTTCCAAAGCTGCTGCTTCGATAGGTTGTCTCGGTCAAAATAAACACATGAATCAGTAACCTAATAGGAGCTGATTTGACTGATGCAGAAGTTATTTACAAAACAAACACAAAATCAGTACCGATCTATAAATCACCGGATAAATTAATGCTGGAACACCGTTAATTGCCATCTGGGTGCAAAATGTTGAGGATGGCCTAACCTAAGTTATACTATCTGATGGCAATTTTCCTTCTTTTTCATTCGTCAAATATACACATACACAATTAACTTTCGGGAACAGAGCTGTGGTGAAATAAAGTCTATCATTGAAAAAGTAGTTATGAGATAGACGGATGGCAGTGTCGAGCTTAGAACACCTTGTCGGATAATTATTATTATTATGACATCCACTAACACCACAACCACAACCACCTCTACCGACGTAATGCGGATCGGTTTGAAATCTCACTACAGTCACATTCAAGCATCAGTTATACCAGTCAATTACTGGGATCAATGAAGACTACTTCTGGGATCATAAACCAGTCATTTTGTTTCGAGAATCACGAGTGATAAATGCATTTTGGTACATTTTGTGAACGATTATTTTATCCATCAGTAATGAGAATGCTAAATCAATTCACATTTACCCCTCAAATATTCGCCATCGGTAAATTGAAACGGTTTATTTGAAGTTGGTCAAAAATAAAACCACAATCCTTACCCATTTAATGAGCCCCTTTCTCTTGTGCAAAACAAAACGCACACGGTCAAATAGTCCGTTTCTCCACCGAAGCGGTTCTCTTTCATCTCAGCCTCGCACGGTAAAATACTTGGACACTCAGCTCCTCAGCGAAATCGGTGTTAGAAGTTAGAGAACTGCCCGAATTACTACTCTAAAATCTTTAGACGCACAGCAGTCCGTAAGGTCAAACTGAACTGGTACGGTCTGTATGGTTGGACTGACTTCGTGATTAGCCTCGCGCTGCGTGCTGAAAGTGTCAGCTTCCCCCTGACACTGATGCTGCCTTTTACCCTTGAGCCAATTTTGGTTCTGGTTTTTAGAACCATTGATTTTACCCAACCGTACATGTTCACCTGCTTCCTAAAGTCTCACTCTATCAACAAACATGATCTGAACGGATGATTAGATTACTGCGGGATATAGTTCGACTGCTTTATCTTTCCACCCTGTCGTTTTGCTCTCACCCGTGACCGCGTACATCGGAATTCCCTTCTGACCTCTTAAGGATCATTTGGATCATTTCTAGTGATTTTCCACAAATTAAACCGCCTCTACATTGTCTCACCTCCGAACGCGTGTTCTCAAGATGTACGGAACAACCATCAACCTGACTCGATAATGTTGGATCGCTGGATCGAAATGCTTCTGATGCTCTTGCTACTACCCCGTGCTTAGCTGTTCGATGATGGCACCACTGCTGTGTACAATCAAAGTTAACTTGGCATTCCAAAGACTAGACGGTTTACAGGTTATCTGTTTTGGATCGCGCTACCAGAGCAAGCCTCAGAAACCTCGTTGGAGCATCGGATCGATTGGATAAAGAGCCCGATAGTATTTGAATTAAGCACATTGCGTGATTATTATGATTCTTGCTCTCGTGAACTGAAATTGTTAGACAAGCAAAAGCTTACTTGCAAATTGCAAGCTAACCTATATAAGAAGCGAAACCAAACCCAATATTTCACATTGTAATTGTTGAATGGACTAATGAATCTAATAAATTCAGAATCGTTTAGAGCTGTAAAAATGGGGAAAAGATCGAACGAAGCATTCATCAAGATGCCCCTTCTGCAACTGCACGAAACACTTGACATCTCAAAGATCTCAGCAAAACGGTCACTTGAATTACCAGAGGCCGTTAATATGCCTGAGTCAGATATCTCTAAAATTCTTCTGAATTTTCGCAAACTAACCATTCTTCGTCCATTTTTTCTGTTTCTTACACCAATAGAGGAAATTCGAAATGAAAAGCCCGTTTTTATACCGGATGCAAGGTCTTTTGATTACTACTCCATATTTGGAACGGTATTATGATTACGAAGAACTAGTGGCTTAACACAATCAATAGAACAACGTTCTACCTCAAAAGTAATATCTCGACGTATATTGATTAAAATACACGTGTGCAGTGAACCTCTTCTGCTCGAAGACCATCAATATACGTTTCCATGGTATGAAATGTGATGAGAAAAACAAAATTACCTTGAGAAAATGAAGCTTGAACC